TCACATAGATGCACTGTTTAAAATAATTTAAAAGTATAGATGCATTGTTCAAAATTACCATTATTTTTTTTAAAATAAAAATATTACATCATTTAGATGCATTGTACAAAATAATCTAAAACTTTTAGAAAAGCTTTGAATTGAATATTTATGGACATATGTCACTATTTTTTATTTTTAAATTTTTTGATATTTTGATGAATTTTTAGCATCTAAATAGTTTGTCTTTTTTCTTTTCTATTTTCTCCTCATTTTTTATATTTTAAATAAATTATAATATATTTATGTAATATTTTTTTTACATTTGAGCTTCTAAATAGGTCAACAATATATGTAAAAAATTTGGTCTAAAATTATTTTCTAATAGGAGATGCATTATTTTTGAGAAAAAAATTAAAAAAATAGTATATCAAATAGATGCACTATTCAAAATGACATAAAATTGTTACGAAAGCTTGGAATGTGATACTTATAGATATGCGACACTGGTTTTCTATTTTAGAGAACTCTATAGTAATTTTATGAATTTTTGGCACTTAAACAATATCTTTTTTTATTTATATTATTTTATAAATTATAATGCATCCATGCAATATTTGTTTTTACATTTTTTGCTTCTAAATAGGTCAACAATATATGTAAAAAAAATTGGCCTAAAAAAATTTCTAATAACTGATGCAGTATTTTCGAGAAAAAAAAAATCAAAAGTAGTGGATCACATCGATGCACTATTCAAAATGGTTTAAATTTTTTTAAAAAAACTTTGAATATAATACTTATAGACATGTGTCACTAGTTGCCTATTTTAGAGAATTTTTTTGTATTTTTATATATTTTGAGCATCTCAACATGTGTGCCACTTTTTTATTTTCTATTTATTTTTTCTAAAAATATAACACATCCATGTAATATTTTTTCACATTTAAGCTTCTAAATAAGTCTTCAAAAAATATATATAATTATATATGTATTATATATATAATTATAATTTGGTCTAGAAAAAAATATTTCCTAATAGGTGATGTATTGTTTTTGACAAAAAATAAAAAATAGTACATTGCATAGATGCACTATTCAAAATAATCTCAAATTTTTAGAAAATATTTGAATTGGATACTTGTGGATATATGTCACTAGTTTTTTATTTTAGAAATTTTTATTATTTTTATGGATTTTTTAGCATATGAACAATATGTCAGTTTTTATTTTCTATTTTTTAAATATTTCTAACAAATTATAATGCATTCATGCAATGTTTTTTCATATTAGAGCTTCTAATAGGTCAACAATATATTAAAAAAATTGGTGTAGAATGTTTTTTTTCTTATAGGTGATGTAATATTATCAAGGAAAATTGAAAAATAGTGCTTCAATGTGATGCACTTTTCAAAATGATCTTAATTTTTTAGAAAAGCTTTGAATAGGATACTTATAAATATATGTTGATGGGCTTTCGTTTAAAAAATATTAATATTTTTATGGATATTTTAGTATCTAAACACTGTATCATTATTCTTATTTCTTCTTGTTTTTTCTATTTCTAACAAATAATAACTTACTATCCATTTTTCCGGTCTCCTTAATAGAGTTAAAATGTTAAACCAGTAGTGAACCATCTCAACCCGAATGGTTAACAAAGTACTCCAAATGCCAGTGTTTTGGATTAAAAAAAAAGTTGTTCAGTTGTCTAGGGTTAAATGGATAAAATATCTCACTAAGAAATACTGTTTGGGCATTTTTTAATGTAGAAACGCTTTGCAGGAAAAAAAAGTAAAAAGTTAGGAGTGTTTTTTAAAAATTTATCCATATATTTTTAATTTATCTATATATTTAAAAATAAACATAACTCGAGCGTAACTTAAATGTAATAATTTTTTAATAACTTAGAATACTTTTTATAAAAGTTAATATATTTTTAGGATAACTCA